TAATCCCAGCACTCGGGAGGCAGAGGCAGGCGGATCTCTCTGAGTTCGAGACCAGCCTGGTCTACAGAGCTAGTTCCAGGACAGGCTCCAAAACCACAGAGAAACCCTGTCTCAAAAAAACAAAAACAAAAAAAAATCCCAATTAGGTTTACTTGTATATTTACCCGTGTTTATGTAGGTGTTTGAGGATGGAGTAGGTGCCAGAGGTCAGTCTTGGGGGTCATTTCTTAGAAGGTGACCACTTTAAAAGTTAAGAAAATATATATTATCAAGGGTCTGGAGAGATGGCTCAGGGATTAAGACCTTTTGCAGAGGACCCAGGGTTTGGTTCCCAGCACCTATGTGGTGGCTCACAACCCTGTATAACTCCACCCAGGGAACCTGGTGCCTTCTTCTGGCCTCTATAGGCACTGTATGCATGTAGTGTGACAAAATAGCCACACAAACATTTAAAAATGATTATTTGTATGCATGCATGGTGTGTGTGTGTGTGACGGCACACATGTGGCGATCAGGAGACAGTTCTGTGGAGTTGATTTCTCCTTCCACCTCCATGTGGCTTCTGAGGACTGAACTGGAGTTGTCAAGCTTGGAAGGCAAGTGTCTTTTCCTGCTGAGATATCTTGTTACTTCGTGCTACCCTGTTTTTGACTACAGTCTCTCACCAGCCTGGAACATACTAGTAGACGAGGCTAGTGACGGACCAGTAGCCCCTGGAATCCATTTGTCTCCGTCTCACCGCTGTTGGATTGCAAGCTTGTGTTGCCACAACTTGCTTCTCTTCATATGGTTTCTGGGGGGTTGACCTTATGTTCTTGTGCCTAGAGGACAAGCTAACTTTTACCAATTGGGCCTATTTATTTATTATTTGTTTTTTTGAGACAGGTTTTCTTTGTATAGCCCTGGTTGTACTGTAACTCACTCTGTAGACCAGGCTGGCCTTGAACTCACAGCAATCTGTCTACCTCTGCCGGGATTAAAGGTATGTGCCACCACTGCCCAGGGCCCATTTATTTTTTGAGTCAGGGTCTCACTATGTATTCCTGGCTGGCCTGGAACTTTCTGTGTAGACAAGGCTGGCTTCAAATTCAGAAAAAAAATTTTTTTTTTTGAGACAGGGTTTCTCTGTAGCTTTGGAGCCTGTCCTGGAACTAGCTTTTGTAGACCAGGCTGGCCTCGAACTCATAGAGATCCACCTGCCTCTGCCTCCCAAGTGCTGGGATTAAAGTGTGTGCACCACCACCGCCTGGCAAGATCCTGAATTCTTAAAGATGTGCACCACGGCACCAACAGGGCCCCTATCTTCGACATGACCTTGAATTCCTGAAACTCCACTTCCCAAGTGCCCGGACTGTAGGCGTGTGCCATGATGCCTTTTATGGTTTTAGTTATTTATTTACTAATTACTATTTTGTTTTTTTTTTTCAAGACAGTCTTTCTCTGTGTAGCCTTGGCTGTCCTGGAACTCACTCTGTAGACCAGGCTGACCTTGAACTCAAGAGATCCACCAGCCTCTGCCTCCTGAGTGCTGGGATTAAAGGTGTGTGCCACCACCACCTGGCTCGTGTGGTTTTATTTTTGAAAAAAGGATTTATATTTATTTTTAGTTACATGTATATGTATGCCTGTGTGTGGATATGTGCATATGAGTGTGTTTGCAGAAGTCAGAAGCATTGGACCTCCTTGGAACTGTGGTTACTGGTCGTTTTGAGTTCCTTGCCACTAGGAATTGGAATTAGAATAGCTCGCCATGAGGTTAGGAATTGAGTTTGGGTTCCCTGCAAGACCAGCATATGCTTAACTGCGGAGCCACCGCTCCAGTCCTCTTATTTATTTATAGGCAGGGCCTCACTATGCAGCCCTGGCTGGTCTAGAACTCATGTAGATTAGGCGACTCTGGAACTCAGAGATCTGCCTGTGCCTGCTTCCTGAATGTTGGGATTAAAACTCTGTGCCACCATGTCAAGTTTAAATGCATAGTTTCATTTTATTTCTCTTTTTATTACTTTGAAAGACTTATTTTTAATTTCATGTGTGTGTGAATGTGTGTATGTCTGTGTAATTGAGTTCGGGTGCCCATGTGACTGTGAGCCACTAGTGTGGGTGCTGGAACCTGAGCTGAGGTGCTCTGGAAGAGCATGTGCTCTTAACTGCTGAAACACCTCTTTAGCCTCTTTATTTTTATTAGTTTTGTTTTGTTTTTTGAGACAGGGTTTTTCCATGCAGTTCTGGCTGTCCTGGAATGTGCCAGGCTTGCCTAGAACTCAGAGATTCACCTGACTCTGCCTTTTGAATGCTGGACTAAAGTCGTCTACCACCATACCTGACTCAGCCCTTTTATTATTATTATTATTTTGATTTTCTGAGACAAGGTTTCTCTATGTAACAGTCCTGGCTGTCCTGGAACTTGCTCTGTAGACCAGGCTGACCTCAAACTCACAGAGATCTGCCTGGCTCTGCCTCTCTGAGTGCTGGGATTAATGGTGTGTACCACCACCACTCAGCATTATTTTGAGACAAGGACTTTTGCAGTCCAGACTGCCATTTAAATCTTGACATGTTGTCTCAGTCTCCTGAGTGTTGAGATTATAGGTGTGTTGCTCCCATGGTCAGCCATGCTAGATTTTAATGCAAGCACAGGTATTCTCAACCTAAGGTCATAAGAGACAATAAGAGATTTTTTTTTTTAATTTTATGTGTATGAGTGTTTTGCCTGCATTTATAGCTGTGTACCATGTGCATGCAGTTCCCACAGAGGCCAGAAGAGGGCAACAGATCCCTGAAGCTGGAATTACAGATGGCTGCTAGCTGCCACGTGCCTGGCAATCAAACTCAGGATTCCCAGAAGAGCAGTACACACCTTTAACCAATGAGCCATCTCTCCAGCCCCGAGAGACATACTTTATAACTTCAGGAAATAATTCTTTATTTTACAAAACATTTTAAAAAAAGCCTCTGTGTATATATAATAAGGCCTAACAAGTAAAACTCTAAACACATCCTTTGAGAGAAGTGTAATGCCGGGCGATGGTGGTGCATGCCTTTAATTCCAGCACTCGGGAGGCAGAGGCAGGCAGATCTCTGTGAGTTCGAGACCAGCCTGGTCTACAAAGCTAGTGCCAGGACAGGCTCCAAAGCCACAGAGAAACCCTGTCTCGAAAAACAAAAACAAACAAAAAAAAACACCCCCCCCAAAAAAAAACAAAGTGTATAGACTCTTAGGAACAAAACATACAGTATGTGCTTGGATTGGAATAACAATAGAGTGGTCTGTAGGACTAAATTCTTTCCTTGAACCCCCCCCCCAAAAAAAAACCCCAAACTCTTACAGGTCACCTCTTTCAGACTAAGTTGATAGACAGCAGAAGAATCAAATTCTGCCCACTTTTCATTCTACAAACGTTTGAATTCCAACTATCTTCCATCACCCAGCTTCCTGAAAAGTTGTTCTCAGGCTTCTTCAGGGCTATTTATTTATGGATTGTAATGCCATGACAACTAACAGCCACTTCTTGGGCATGGTCAGGCTGGGCAAGTCCTCAAAAGCAGTGTGAATGGACTTGGTCTTCTTTTTCTTCCTTTTTTTTTTGAGACAGACTCCTCTGCCCTATCTGTCCTGTAGCTAGCTCTGTAGACCAGGCTGGCTTCGAACTCACAGAGATCTATTTGCCTCTGCCTTCCAAGTGCAAGAATTAAAGGCGTACACCATTACCGGCCTGGCTTGGACTTGGTGTTCTTTCCCACTAACTCATCCGAACAGACTGGTCAGCAGTAATAACGTAATAAGGATCAGCCAGAAAATCAGACGCTGGGGGTCCGAACCACCACATATCCTTGAGGGAAGGGGCAGCTGTCCTTCCCTTCTGTCTCAGCTTGAAACCATAGGCAGCAATGTCTACAACCATAGCACTTGTGAGGGTGGGGGAGGGGCACATTTGGGGATGCAACCACAAGCCTCACACCCTACCAGTGAGCTATACCCCTAGCTTCTTGTTCAGTGGATTCTTGATTCTCTTCTTTGTACCCATTTTTTTTTTGTACCCATTATTTTTAAACCTAGCACATGGAAGGCTGAGGTAGGGGATGTTTGAGGCAAAACTGTCTTACCGAGTGAGATCCTGTCTTCAGATAAATAACCCGAGTAGTCTACTTCCAGGTTCGCTAATGAGTGACACAGAAAAGAGGCATAGTGTTATAAAGTCACTCCTTCAAGCCTGACTTTTATTAGTACCTGGACAGTGAGTCTACCATGAAGTTCAATGAAAGTCAGTGAATAAAATGAAAAAACTATGGGGCTGGAGAGATGGCTCAGAGGTTAAGAGCACTGGCTGTTCTTCCAGAGGGCCCAGGTAATTTCCCAGAATCCACATGGTGGCTCACACCTGTCTGTAACTCCAATTCCAGGGCTTCTGACAGCCTCACACAGACATACACGCAAGTAAAACACCAATGAGCATTAAAACAAATAAACAAACAAATAAATAAAAGAATTAGAAAACTGGTAGGAAGCAAATAGAGTTACCATCCCCAGGAAGAAACTGCCCAACAGTGAGACAGTCCCGTGTTTATTTCTTCATTCACAAATTACACACCAGCAGTTTCAACGAAACATTTAAGAAAGCGGGATATTGTGACTGTAATCGTGTGTCTCTTGACATAAAGGAGCCACACGGATTTCTTGCTATATATTGTTCTTCAATTATAATACAAGACTAAGAGTTGAAGTTCCCACTGGAGTAGTACACAGCACTTCATTGCTACCAGAAACCACAGGAATGTTTCAGAGAAAGACTCTCATCCTTTGGTGAGATGAAATCAAGCCAAAACCCTAGGCTAGTATCAGCTGCTTGCAGATCAGCTGTGGCCTTTTAAAGCCCTTAGCTTCCACAGGCACTGGTAAGTCTTTTCTGGGGATGGGGGATTTCTATCTGAGGGCAGTTAGTTCCTGCAAGCAGCAGCCATCAAGACACAGCGCAGGACAGCTGGGTAGGGCCTGTCCTTTCTGATGTCAGCTCTAAACCGACACAGCCTCTTTAACTCATCTGCCGGAGCTCCCTTCCTGCGGACTAGAACGTACACTCTACACCGAGGGCCCCACGGGGATCGACAAGTCCAGTAAACAGGATTTCATCTCCCGGAGCTCCTGGACCTCAGGGCTCTCAGGGCCACAGTGCACCAACAGGATCTTTTCCGCTTTCCATATGGTGCTCAGAGCTTCAGGCACTGCCAACCTGAACCAAGGGAGGAAAGCTGGTTAGGTCACTGTCTCCTTTCTGGAAAGAGGACAAAGATAAAGTTCATTCCCTCCTCCAGGGTCTTATGGAGGCAACAAAGGTCAAAGTTCACCATGCCCTCCAGGATCTTACCATCTAAAAGGATATAAAAGAAACTTTCACAAGCACATTGAAAAGCAGAGTTTAAGAAAAGTGTGTGTGTGTGTGTTTGTGTGTGTGTGAGAGAGAGAGAGACAGGCTCCAGGATCCTGAGAAAAATGGGCACATTTAAAAACCTTAATCAACATTTATGGAAGCTTTATACAGAGGTGAGAGAGATGTGTTCATTTTAGGGTGCCCATGTCTCACCTGATGACTTCATGTTGTTCCTTCTGAGCACACATGCTGTTTCCATGTCGGTATCAGGTCTGAGCTTCAGACCCATTCCTTTAGCAATGAATTTAATCAAGGCTGGAGGTAGGCTGGCCACACAGAAACACAACTGGGGACATACTTCACTTCAGGGGATCTCAGGGGCAAAATTGGGTGAAGGACCAGCTCATCAGCTCTGCTCTTGTCTTTTGTGTGTGTGTTTTTGTGTGTGTGTGAGCACTCGTGCGTGTGGGTGCGAGAATGGCACCCAGGGCCTGTGTATGCTAGGCAAGTGTGCTACCAACATTCCCTTGGCTTCCTTTTTTAACTTTAAAGCAGGGCTTCTCAACCCTGAGGTAACTGTTTGGGGGCTGCACCGAGGAGGCTGCTCGTGCAGGGTCAGCCTCTACCCACCGGACACTGGCAGTGCCCTCCTTCAGTTCTCAAGGATCACAGCTGTCTCCAGACACTGGCCAGGGCATCCGCAGGCAGAGTTCCTTCTGCTTCAAAACAACTGCTTTAAAAGGAAGAGGATGCAAAGCAGGGGAAAGGCAGAGCCCTGGAGCTGAGAGTGCTGGGAAGGAGCAGCCAAGGGAGGTGTGAGTGGGCCCAGAGGAATGCTGGAGGGCGGGTGGGGCTGCCTGGAAGCCCTCCCTGGGAAACTCAGTTCAGACCTGAGAGCTTTCTCCACAGCTCTCAGGAGGAAATTCAAAGCTTAAAGTCTGTCAGTGAAGCAGAGGGCAAAGATTTGTCCTAAAGAGGAAATAGAAGGGTTTCAACATGCTTAAAAGCACCGCAGAAGTCATCCACAGAAGTGCCTAGTAAAACACAGAACAGTATGTGCCCTGGCTAAGGGCTAGGAAGAGGAAAGACCTACCCGTTGAACAGGACTTGGGCCAGCTTGAAGAGTTCGTGGCCGATTTCAACACTGGATGGCCCATGGCGAGCTTCAACCACACGAACACTCTTCTGTATGTGGGCAGCAGACTTCCGCCAGTCTCCTGGGAGAACAGTCTCATTCCAGAAAGAACCGCCATCCACCCAAGGCTCTCAGGGTGAGGGAAGCAGAAAGGAAGGGAGAGCCAAACAGACAAGGCAAGGGCCACAGCTGAACACCAGGCAGGGAAGGAAGACCACAGCATACCTAAGGCAGCATGTGCCTGCGCCAGCCCATCTTCAATTTCCCCCACCACGGTGTGCTCTGCGGACAAGAAGCTCTCGGCAGCCTCCCGGCACCCCAACAACTGCTGGACAGCTTGCTCTACTGAGTCAAAGGAAAGGCACCTCACAACAGACAGACCCAGACACGAGAGCCCGGGTTGCAATTCTCTATTGGCTGGGCCAGTATGGAAATGCCCCCTGTTTCCCTCAGTCAAAAATCCAGCATTCCTGGAGAGCTGTTGTCTCTTATGTTTTCTTTTTCAGTAGAAAAAGGTGCTAGATGAGCCCCTCCCCCCCATTTACCCTGGGCTCCTAACACCCGGTTTCCAGTACAGCCAACTCCACAGCCCACCTGTAGTGCTTACTTCCCTTGACTCTAGGCTAAAGGTCAGCTTCACAATGTAGGTTCAAACAGGTGAAACAGAGTCCTACCACGTCAGAGTCTAATAGCAAGTTTCACAAATCCCTTTCTTTCTTTGCTCCCTCTCTCAGTGCTGAGGCTAGCGATGTAAGCTCTGTCCCTGAGCCATGGCACCAGCCCAGAGCAGGATCCACTGCTTCTGAGGGCAGAACAAACTTCCCAAGCGGTCAGTCATCAGGCTCAGAGTTAGGATAAATGACAGGGGACTTCTGGAGACACACAAAGCTCATGGAAGTTGGAAAGTCTTGCTGGTGCTCGAGCTACTAGAACTATCAGACACAGAAGACACAGTTTAAACCACCCAGTACCTTTCAAGGACACCAGACAGCTGTAGGGTTTGGTCTCACTGGCCTATATAGCCACCTTGTGGCTGGTGCCGGGATAATGAAATTCTAGTCCTCAATCATTTACTGAGGACTACTGAGAGCAAGGTGATAGCAGAATAAACCAAAGGGGCGGGGCTGGAGAGCCAGCAGGAGCCAGTCTCACCTAGTTTCCCATTTCTGAGAAGCTTCTGGGCCTCGCACACCTGCTGCTGAAGGTCCTGGAGGCGGGAGGCCAGGTGGGCCCTGCTGACGGATTCTCTGCAAGATTCGTTGCTGCAGCTCAGCACATCGTTTCCCTGTGGAAGCCCAGTTCTATCGTTATTCCTAAGTCAGGACAGTTATCAGCACTGCAAGTCGCATGGACTTGAGCGACAGGGTCTCTGACCTGATGGGGAAAAGACACTCCTGCAATAACACATTGCCAACAAGGCCTGAGTGAATTTGGTCCAGCAGCAATTCTAGTGAAAGCAGGAGCTGATCCCACTCCGAGGTTTAATTTTTGGACAGAAACGATCCACCTCGGCAGCCTCTCTTCTCTTTTTGGGAAAAGGCCTTTAGATGATGGACATATGTATATTGGGTGTTTAAAAAAGCCATAAGAAAACCAATATAGAAGGCTGGACATGGTGACACATTGCTGTAATAGTGTCACTTGGGACTAGAGATAGAAGATGACAAGTTTGAGGCCAGCCAGGACTATGTCATGAGTTCTAGACCACCATTGCAAGGGGAAGGAGGAGAGGAAGAAACAACAGAAAGAAGAGAGATATGGCTCAAAGGATAGAAACATTTATTGGAAGGGCTGGAGAGATGGCTCAGCAGCTAAGGGCACTGGCTGTTCTTCCAGAGGAGCTGGGTTAAATTCTCAACACCCACACGGCAGCTAACAAATGTCTGTAACTCTATTTCCAGGGAATCTGACACCTTCACAGAGACATACATGCAGGTAAAACACCAATGCACATAAAATAAAAATAAATAAATAATGTTTAGAAAGAATCTATTGGGTTCAAGTCCTCAACCAATCATTTACTGAGGAAGAAAGTCAGGTACAGTTCTGCAGGCCTGTAAAAATCTCAGTACTTGGGAAGTTGGAGCAGGTGGATCTCAAGTTTGAGGTCTTCCTGGGCTTTGAAGTGAATTCTAGACTAGTTGGGTGTGGTGGTTTGAAAGAAAATGGCCCCCAAAGGAAGTGGTTAGGAGCTCTGACTTTGTTGGAGGAAGTGTGTCACCGGGGGCAGGCTTTGAAGTCTCTTTTCTTAAACTTTACTTAGTGTGACAGTCAACTTCCTGTTGCCTCTGAGCTCAAGTTGTAGGGCTCTAAGCTCTAGCACAGCTGCCTGCAGGCCACCACGCTCCCCACCACGATGACCTCTGAAAACTAAGCAAGTCATCCCATTTAAATGTTTTCTAAGAGCTGCCAAGGTCATGGTGTCTCTCTACATCAATAGTAACCCCAAGACATTGGGGATACACAATGAAACCCAGTCTCAAAAGAGCAAGAGTGAGGGAGAGCGCTAATCCAAAGGGTGCTAGGGCCCAGCATGGTGGTGCACAGCTTTAATCCCAGTACTTGGGAGGCAGATGGATCTCTATGAATTCTAGGCCAGCCAAGGCTACACCATGAGATTCTGCCTAAAAAACAAACAAAAGAAAAAGTGTGGGCTGGAGAGATGACTCAGAGGTTGAGAGCACTGGCTGCTCTTCCAGAGGTCCTAAGTTCAATTCCCAACAACCACATGGTGGCTCACAGCTGTCTATGATGAGATCTGGTGCTCCCTTCTGGTGTGTATAGCCCTAGTACCCTTTGTATGCAGGCTGAATGCTGTATACACAATAAATAAATCTTTTTTAAAAAGTGCTAGGTAAGGCTTCATATTTAACCCTTGGGTTTACAATTGTAGCTTCTCAATACAACTAATTCCACTTACAGTATTCCTAACAAGAAGGCCATCCTCTGAAAGTAGAGAAAATTTTTATCTGGGCATAAATGTTGAACACTCCAATGTCTATGCCATTATCTGGCACTAGCCACCCATTTTCTCTAACCATCTGCCCTATTCTCCCAAGGTCAATGCCGTTGGCTGAGGGGTTCAGATGTGGTTCCTTCCTCTGGGTCGAACGGCTGAAGGAAAACTATCTGGGTCTGATTTTTCCCACAGTTTCTGCATTGATAACACACAATAAGACTTCTGCTCAGACTGACTTTGGACTGGGACATGTTTTCATCCTATTGGGCTGGGTGGACAAGGAGGCTGAGGTGATGGCAACCATCTTGTCACCATGGGAGAGGAGTATGTCTAATGAGGCCAGCAGAGGGAACAGGGTTAGGAAGACAGAAAATCTGGGTGTTGGCAATGTTACCTGAGCCCGTAGATTAAGCTGTACCGGAAACAGTGCTCTGGAATGTTATTTTATTAGATGGGGTCTCACTTGAGATTGGCCTCAGCTTGAGATTCTTCTGCCTCAGTCTTCTGGGTGCTGGGGTTACAGGCATGAGCCAAGTACCAGGTCTGACACAGAACTTTAATGATTTATTTGAGCAAGTAAATTTCTAGTTTTTTTTTTCCCCCAGGGTCAAAGTTAAGCCTTTGTGTCATTTGTAAGGAAAGTGTTACTAAGTCCAGCCTGACCCTCTGTGTTCGCCGGGTCGGGCAGCATGTTTGGACTTCCTAAAATGAAGTGATACCAGTGCTCTCTAGAAACCCCCGGTGGTTTGCCCTCGTGACTCCTTTGGGCTGGAGCGCTGATCTCTGGGAACAGCAGAGGTTTACCTGCATGAGTGCGCTGCATGCGTTGCAGCAGAAGGCTTCCCATCTGGGCTCTACAGCTGCTCTGAGTGTCTCAGTGTGACAGGCTGGACAGCTACAGTCAAAGAAGTACTGTGACCTCAGCTTCTGCTGCCTCTCAGCAACACCCATGCGGCTCTGATGTGGCCCTGGAGAGAAATCACCCACAGTTACCACTCACACCCAGAGAGTCAAAGTCTACTCAACAGAGGGCTGGGATATTCCTCATATGACGGGAGTGAGGAAGCTGGGCTGGGGCTCTGGCTCAGACCACCACATTGGGGAGTGGAGGCACCAGCCCTAAGCCTGCTAACTCCTGTCCACCTATCCTTTTCAGGTGGGGCAGGGCAGGGCGGTGGAAAGGAAGGCTGGCTCACCATAGCAGTGCACAATCTCTTGTCCTTTTCTGATGTGCTGTGCTGCCCGGATGGTGGCGACAGTGCCAGTGAAGGACACACTCGTGTTGGGGCTGCAGGAGTGGTTCAGGAGGCTGACGACAGGGAAGATGCCTGTGGCAAGGCGGACCTGCCTGCTGTTGGTCACGATGCTTTCTTCAGACCCTGACAACGCACAAGAAGAAGGAAATATGCATCAGGACGTTTGTCCAGTCCTTACATCTATTCTCAGAAGATGAACTGAGCAGCTGGGCGTGAAGCCCATCTGAGTCATGGCTCTGCAGCCGGATCCAATATAAATCAGATGGAACATGACTCATAGCAAACTCTGGTCCCCAGGAAGCAAAATGAATGAGTACACGAAAAGTCCACTGGAGCCTAATCGTTATGCCTGTATGCCACTCAAAAAACCCAATATTGGAATTTATTAAAAAGAATCAAAAAGGGATTATCAGTATGGCACTTTCTAGAGTTTCATAATGTTCAAAGGGTGCAGAATCATAGTATCCCTGAGATTATCTCCCCATGATTTCTAAAGTCCGGTTGCTCTTGTTTAACTGGCTCTGGCTGGTTATTGGAATAACTGTCCTAGTTAGTGTAGCATACTTTATATACTCGCTCCGCCTTCTCCACCCTGCCCTTTGTCTAATCTTTTTGGCGACTGCTCTGCAGTCTCACGTAAGCAAACCGTCTGTACTTGTTTTACTGAAGGCAGACCTACGTCCCAGACAAGCTCTTTGTGGTACACTCAACCAGTTCACAGTACTGCAAAGATGAAAGGAAGAGAAAGGGCCTCTAGGCAGTGATGCTGGTCTGCGTGAGTTTTTCATACTCATGTGCACAGCTATGCTCACATTGGGTTTCTGTTGCTATGACAAAATCACTTAAAAAAGCAAAGGAAAGGTAAACTGACCAATGCACGCTTGTAATCCTAGCATTTGAGCAGCTAGGACGGGAGGATCAGCCTGGGCCATATAACTGATCCCGGCTCAAAGAAAACAAAATCAAAACCAAAACCCAACCAAAACAAGTAACAAAAGAGGCGCCGGGGAGGTTTCCTTCCACTATTCCCTACCGCCCACAAGTTAACGGTGGTCAAGGCTTTAGCAAAAGGGCCCGTGGGCGACATGCAAGATCAAAACTCTGACAGCCTACATGCTCTTCAAACAAAATGCCAGTTGACTTAATGATGCAGTTTCTCACGCCAGAGAAGTTCAGAAGCAGAGAACTAAGATGTGGGAATATATGGCAGGGTTTTCTGAGAATGGCAAGAAAGACAAGGATGGAGTAGAGGAGGCAGGAAACTCCTGAGTAACACAACAATCCTAGGGCAAACAAACCCCATTCCCACTCAAGTCTCATCACACATGGAGCATTTCACTTAACCAGAGGCTTCTAGAGGGACTGCACACCTACCACGGTTTCCGTAATAGCCAAACATATGCCAGGAATAGGTATGATACGTGTAATGTTGGCTACCTAAAAGGCTTAAATTAAGATCACAGCAGTTTAAGCAGGAGGAAAATCATATTTTCAACAAACTGGTTGAAATGTGAAGAACACTGCTACTTAAAGGGAAGCAGTTTCCTAAAAATCTGGGAAACCGTCAGATTACTGGTGTCGCTGCACACGTGCCAGGAATCTCAACTAGTCGTTTATCAGAGAAGTAACTAGTCTGGATACAAATGTAATGAGCAAAGAAAACACCACGAACCATCATCATGTGAGCATGTTTTACAAGGGGAAAATTAAATAGAAGAATTATGTTGTTTCTCTGCAGACAATTCTATTATCTGTTGCTATGGGGGACAAGCATAGGACATGTAAATACAATTCACAGGGAATCCAAATGACTCAATTTTAGTCAACAGTTCTACAAACTGCATTTAAAATCTTTCATCAGAGCTTTTCCTAAGTGTTTAGCTGATTTGCGCCCCTATCCTGGCTCCCGAAGCCTACCTTCTGGAATATGTGCTAATGAGCAGTGAAAATGCTAGAAGGTAGGCAGCAGGAAGGAGCAGAACAGGGCACGAACAATTTGTCGTCTGAATAATCAGCGTCTGCATAATTAAAAGTTGACTTGCATTCTCAACTACAGATAACTGGCAGTCTGCATTAGAACAGTTGCTAAAATTTCCTCCGAAAAAAGTGATTGCAACACAGTGAGTAATGTCAGCATCGTTGAGTTATTTATAGGGTGTCCTCCCGCAGAAGCAGGCTCAGGAACTGAGTGGGGTACCGGTGTCAGAGTTGAATGTCTCTCTAATTATTTCTAAAAAATTGAGTATTGATTTTGAAAAATTACTCAATCTTTTGCATTAGTCATCTATTAGTGGAGATAATAGGAAGAGAGAGTATCTACGCACGTTGTCAACCAAATTTAATGGGTGACATTTTGGATATAAAAATAAGTGTGAGTGATTCTTTAGCACAAGTGTACCTTGGATTTCAAAGTGTCTCTGGTACGTTTCAAATAGGATTTAAGTAAAAGAAAAACAACAGCAAGACTCATTCGTACTTCTAGGACACAGCTACCCTGACAAATAGTCTGCAAATGAGAAGCGTGTGGAGGTGATCAGGTCAAACCGAAGTAAACCAAAGGGCAGTTAGCTGATTCAAGACCACACAAATCCTCATCAAGGCTTGTGAAGACGCGGTTCCAGATGCAACACAGATGTGCCCTTCTCATGGGGATAGAAACACCCCCATACCAAGAATATCATCAGTGGCCAGACCTGTCCTTTGAGATGGGAGAGAGGTTTTTGAGGAACTTTGATTAAAAAGAATTTATGCGAAGATAATAACATACATTTTTATAGGTTTTTATCAAAGTCTATCCTAGGTAACACTTTAATCCTTCTTCTGTGCCACTAATGAAACAGCTGCTAATGAAATTCAATGAGAACACTAAACTGGGAGGTGTTGGAACCCCAAAGAAACAATAAGAAGGGATATAACGAGATTAGAACTATGAGCAGACTGAAACAGAATGAGACAGTAAGAAAATGAAAGCGAGCACTGCTGGTGGCTGGTAACTGGTACGACTCACCTGGAAGCAAATTTGCAGTGTGTATCGAGTGCCTTAAAAATGCTCCTATGGAAATATTCTTAGCACTTACATCGTTTCTATTATAAGAAAACTAATTAAAACTACAAAAAGAATACATGGTAGTTAGGTAAAAATTAGAAACTGAAAATACAGAGACAAGGACTGCCATCCAAAACCCAATTAGGCAAGTACAATGTTTTGATGTATTGTCTTTGCAGTGAGTGGCCCTTCTAGTTCTATGTATGGAATTATTACTATTATTATAATTTGGACAGAATCTTGCTAGATAGCCCAAGCTGGCCTTGAGCTCACCATTCCCCTGCTTAGGCTCATAAGTGCTGAGATTGTAGGCATGGGGCATCATACCTGCTGTATGGAATTTTTAACATAATTTGTGATGATGGCATATGATGATTTGTAAGTTATTTCTTCTCACATAATATACCATGGCTATTAAAAATGCCCTGCTCTAAAATGCATTAAAAATGTAATTAAAAAGCAAACCTGTAAATGGAGACTGCTTGTTCATTTCCCGGCCATCCAGACCTGAATAATCACTCAGAAACTATATTAATTACAACATCGTTTGGCCAATAGCTTAGGCATATTCCTAGCTAGCTCTTACATCTTAAATTAACCCATTTCTATTAATTTATGTATCACCATGAGGCTGTTACCTACTGGTAAGGTTCTGGTGTCTCTTTCCTTCAGAAGCCACATGGCGTCTCCCTGACTCCACTTTCTTTCTCTCTGTATCTCTGTTCGGATTTCTTGCTGGTTTTACTCTGCTAAGCCATTGGCTAAAATACCTTTATTCATGAACCAATGAAAGCAACACATATACAGAAGTACATCCCATATCACAAACCAACTCTCTTAGGGCTTCTATTGCTGAGATAAAATACCATGACCAAAAATTACCTGGGGAGGGAAGGGTTTATTTCTTCCTCCAACTCTCAGGTGACATGCCTTCACTAGGGGAAGTCAGAGCAGGAACTCAAGGCAGGAACCTGGAGTCAGGAACTGAAGTGGGAGCCATAAAGGAATGCTGCTTCCTGGTTTGCTCAGCCTGGTTTTATATATACTGCAGATCACCTGCCCGAGAGTGGACCACCCACAGTGGTCTGTGCCCTCCTACATCAATCACTAATCAGACTTGCCTATAGGCCAATCTTCTGGAGGCATTTTCTCAATTAAGATTCCTTCTTCCAAGATATATCTTGGTTTGCACAGAGTTAACAAAAACTAATCAGGACATCAACAAAATGACTGCCAATCTTACAGGCAAGGTGGCATCTCAGTTTTACTTGTATAGACTGGAGGTGTTTTTATCATGACAATGTGCTTTCTTGTGTGCATTTATAAAGGTTTCATCAAGAGGCTGTGGGTGTAGCTCAGTTGCTAGGCAAGCACAAGGCCCTGTGTTTGATCTCTGACAGTGTATACACTCAGAACAAAACAAAAATATACAGAATGCATGATAGACACAGGTTAAATTCTGCTAGGCACGGTAGTGCATCCCAGCACTTGGGAAGTGCAGGCTCAAGGTCTCCCTCAGCTATGCAAATGAGTTTCAGGCCAGCCTGGGCTATGAGGGACTCTGCCTCAAAAATTTATTTCCAGTTAAATACTATTATTTTATGTCTAGAGATGTTTTGCTTGCATGTATGCATGCAATGCCCTTAAGGCCAGAAGGTATCAGATCCCCTGGAAATGGAGTTATAGACGGTTGTGAGCTGCCATGTGGTTGCTGGGAATTGAATCCAGGTCCTTTGAAAGAGCAACCAGTGTTCCTAACCACTGAGCCATCTCTACAGCTCCCTTAAGTTAAATATTAAAAAAAAAAAAGCAGCTTCTAGGGCCTGAGGAGATGGCTTAGTTGGGGAACTATTTGCTACATAAGCATGAGGGCCTGAGCCCTCAAGTAACAAATTGGGCATACATTTAATTATTTTTTTTCTTATTGCACTTACCTGTTTCATTATCTATGTGTGTAAGTGTGATGGCCCAGGTGTGGAGGTCAAAGAACAGCTTTGGGGAGTCGGTTCTTCCTTCTATCATGGGGAACCTTGGGATCAAGCTCAGGTCGTCAGGCTCGTCAGGAGCTTGCTCCTTT